ACTCTCCAACAGCTTTCAACCTCAACCACTAAAGTCTCCTTCTAAAGCCTCCGACCCTACCACAATCCAACAAAGTCCTGTCCCCATTCTCCTTCAAATAAATAAAAGCGACAATACCCTTACCACATTCAATAGAAATCTCTGCTAAAAGCAGAGTCCATTGTACGATTCCGACTATGTCATGAGCATGTGTTTACGAATCACTCGAGAATAGGGATGGTACCAGGTGTTCGCGAAAAGGTGAGCGTATCCTGCACCACCGGTGGCACCCGTCACAAACACATGTAAAGGCAAGTTAATTGTTCACCTGAAACAACTCGGGAACATACCCCATGCAGCCACCACATCCAACTTCCTCAACACATTAGGGGGCACGGGTGGCCCAGTCGTCTAAGGCGCCGCGATTCGCTGTGCAGAGTTGCGTCCCTTGAACACGCCAGAAACCTATGATTGTGGGTTCGAATCCCGGTTCGCCCCGATTATGTTTCTAGGTTTGTCAGCACCATACCCGTGCTCGTGGGTTTCACCGAAGTGGTAAACGTCTGAGACCTGCATCACTTCGGGCTTTCCTCCCACATTAAGCTGACACGCCGTGATATAACTGGAATACTGTTAAAAGCGGCGTTAAACCAACTCACTCACTCACTCACTCACTCACTCCTCAACACATTACTTATATTATCTGACCTATTATCTACCCCCGCCAATTCTAAAGCTTAGCTAGAGGATCAAAACATTAATATAAGATAGCATCTAATTTCAAAACTTATATTCAAAATTGTAAATCTATATGGACATAAATCCATTCACACTAAAAGTATTACTAAATGGCACATTTTTCTAACTCGACCCATTTATACAAAACAAGTTCAAGAATTCAAAGAGCAATTGCAGATCTGAACTCTGCAACTAAACACCACAATGATCAATGTACAAACTGCAAATCAACCGACGACCTTGACAATTGATCATTATGTCATGATCAGTAGCAAAACTTCTGTTCGAGCTCTATACATCAAAATGTAAAAACAATCTAGCTTTACTCTTAAGGCCATTTAACATTATAACATACAGCAAATGTTCCATATTAATCTTTGACAAAACAAAATTCCAAACAAACCAATTGCCATATATATATATATATATATATATATATATATATATATATATATATATATATATATATATATATATTCATTTTTTTAAATCTTTGTATGCATGTAGATGTCGGTCAATGGATGCAGGGGTTTAGCAAAGTCTCACCTTCTGAAGATTTGTTGATCAAAATTCCGAAGGAAAAAGTGACACCTAACCTCACCCCTCCCTATTTAGACACTGATACTAAGTTTGCAGTTGCTTACAGCGACAAAACAACTACCCTCGTAGGAGGGAGACTTCTGATTCGACGGAGCTAAACTCATTTTTATTGCAATTAATACTAAGTTTTATTGATATTAAACCAACAGTTTGCAAGTTTCACAAAGAAAACAGCATATATTGATGTTGGTACACCTTTCATAGCGGAGCTGAACAAGACAGAGCTGCAGTGAATGGTTAAAACGGTCATTTCGCAGCAAAACAATTTAATGTATGCATATGTTGTTGGCCAGTGTGTGGAGGCGTTGGACAAAATTATCCTTGAGAAAATTTATTGAAAAAAAAAATTCGGTGTGTGTGTTCACGCGCGGGTTCGAATCCCGACATGGATACAACGTGTGAACCATTTACGGTGTCCCCCGCCGTGATATTGCTGGAATATTGCTTAGAGCGGCGTAAAAAACATACTCATTCATTCATTATCTAAAAAAAACACTGATAAATAATATACCACTAGTTCGTAGGGGAGGAGTTTAGAAATGTTATATTAACACTGCATAATTGTGTTAAGGAAGCCGTTATGACGGCAACGAAACTGTTTTCTCTTGTTTACATCACTGGTGCTGTATGGAGAAACCATGTTAAAACGTTCGCTCCTGTGACGAAAATCCGGGTCTTGTACACAAATTGGGTAAAACGTGTAAAACCAATCCTTGGTCTTCCCGTCGTAATGCGGTTGAAATATAATCATAGTTGTGTAATTAAGTTGAAAAGACCAACGACATAGGTGTAAGAACATATACAGAATTTAGAATCAATATGTTTTATGTACATGCCGTATTCTTACATTAAATAATATGCTTCATTCATTGACGACATGGGACAATTTCCCCCTCCCCCCTCCACACACACGCACGCACACACGGACACCCACACCCACACACACACACACACACACACACACACGCACACACACACGCAGTGACAGAGAAACGTCCTTACCGGCCTGGTGCTATTTTGTATTGAATATAACTTCACATCAGCTGCGAATCGTTACAGCCACAGCGATAATTCGTTTGCATAATTATTTGTTCACCAAAAGATTGTTTAATTACATATTGCTGCACTTACCATGTCGTTTTGTTCAACGTCCTCTCCAGAGTGAAAACATACGGCAGGCCAGGAAATCAAGCTGAAAAATGTTTCTTCGTAAATGAATTCTAAACAACTTTTTGAAATTAATGTAACATGCACCGGTGCATTTGATAAAGTAAGCGTCGTCTGCTTCGATCCATAGAGTCTGGATTACGCGCAGGAAAAACTCGTGCAACGGAAGTGTTTCCCGATTGGCTAAACTCGTAACCTTGACATCACGTGACTCTTCTGGTGAACACCTGCTTGAAATATACAACACTTCTAACCTGACTTGACATTTGCTTATGTTAATAATCTTAACCCACAAAGCCATTAGCGGTGGGGTTTGTCTAGCGAGGTTAAAGCGTTGACTCGTCACACAAATTCACGATATGGGTACACCATGTAGAGCCGATTTTGAAGCCCCTCTCCGTAATATGGCTTGGGTTTTGTTCCAAATTTCGCAAATGATTTTGTAATAATAAATGGTAATTTTTAGCGGCATTCATCATAATAGGATGGAGATGTAATACAGTGGATGGTCGACCATGAACTTCCAAGAGCCTTAACATTTTAATGCATTTTAATCATAATGATGATTATGAAAAAGAAATTATCAAAGAATAATTATGAATTAATATCAAAGAATGTATAAAGTACCACACGAGTAAAAACGTATTAACTGAGGTTCAAAGGAGAGTATACCGAGTTGGTTTTTATATGTAATGGAAAATTATTGAAAGAACTGTTGTTAAATTTGATGCGTGTCATCGCATCCCAATTAGGTGGACCCGTGAAGATCCGGGGTAGATTGGTCTTCAGCAACACATGCTTGCTGTAAGAGGCTCGCTGACTTGGTCGTTGCATGTCATATAGTTGTAATATTACTATTGAAACTGGGTTAGAATAGGTCTTCAGCAACCGATGCTTGCCGTTAGAGGTGACTAACGGGATCGGGTGGTCAGACTCGCTGACATGGCTGTCATTACGACCATGTTTAAATCAGATTGGAATTCTCTTTGAGTTTAGAGACGGAATATTTTCTTAGAATGGTTTAAAACATAAAATGTCCTTCTTCGAAAAGGATAACTAAACACGATACACGACAAAGTTTATATAGGACATCCCTTGAAATATTTACTAATGGAGTTAAAACTTTTGGAAAATCCTTTTCCAGGTTTTCGGGGGTGGGTGGGTGGGGTGGGTGGTGTTATTAGAACATTTTAAGGACCTCGGATTCATCAGTACACCAAGGAAGGCAGGTCGTCAAAAGCCTAATATTGGACCTCTACAAGATCCGACAACGACGGGGGTCACGGGTGATCCGTGAAGATCTGGGGTGGAATAGGTCTTCACCAACCCATGCTTGCCGTAAAAGACGACTATGCTTGCCGTAAGAGGCGATTAACGGGATCGGGTGGCTCGCTGACTTGGTTGACGCTTGTATTATCACATATACCACTGTGTCCGGAAGTAGCCAATGTTGCTATTTTTAAGAGAAAAGTTTCAATATTATTTACACATATCACATCCTCGATATCTCAAGGGGTCGCATGTCAGTGAGCGTAGGTATACATGTACATGTATACCGAAATGCGAGCGCTGGAGATATCGAGGAGACATATATCACCACCTCGTGCATTTTTGACAAGTTTTCCAGAATATCTTGTAACACCTTTATAGTGAAACTAAAATCTGTTCCCATCTGCTGCTATATACTGTATATCATTCACATCATATAAATTTTCTTCTTCTATTTCATGAGAGGGCACGGGTAGCCCAGTCGTCTAATTTAAGAAGCCGCAAAGTAGCGTCCCTTTGACACGCCAGCGTTGCAGGACTAAGACGTTTACCACTTGTGGAATGTGGAGCTGACAAACCAAGAAACATAATCGGGGCGAACCGAGATTTGAACCCACGATCATAGGTTTCTGGCGTGCCAAATTCTGCACAGCGAATGGTGGCGCCTAAGATTTGTTTGTTTGTTTGTTGTTTAACACTGCACTCAGCAATATAGCTATATGACGGCGGTCTGTAAATAATCGAGTCTGGACAAGACAATCCAGTGATTGATATCATGAGCATCAATCCACGCAATTGGGATCGATGACATGCATCAACCAAGTCAGCGAGCCTGACCACCCGATACCGTTAGTCGCCTCTTAGGACAAGCATAGTCGCCTTTTACGGCAAGTATATGGGTTGATGAAGACCTATTCTATACCGGATCTTCACATAGCAATCACTGGATTGTCTGGTCCATACTCGATTATTTACGGACCGCCGTCATATAGCAGGAGTATTGCTGAATGCGGCGTTAAACAACAAACAAAACTTTATTGATATATTTGTAATGTATAGATCACAGGTAATTGTACATATATATCAACACTGTAACAGTTTCATATCAATTCTTACTGGGTAATACATACGTATATTTGCGTTTGCGCCAATTTCAAACCCTGATTCTTTGACCACCCCACCACCTCAAAATAAACTCGCCCATTCCGCGATTCCGTGCGGCATCACGTGACTATATTCGGAAAAAAATGGCGCTCTTCAGCAACGAGAAGTTGAAGTACCTGCGAACTTTAGGATTGAAATTTGACGCCACAGAAGGTATATTGTAAACATACATTGAATGAAAGACAACGTGAGGGTGTTATTCATTTCGAAATCAACGGATGATTTTGACTGACACTATGTCATAACACTGTTGGAGGTTAATATTTGCAACTCTTACACCGAGTCTTCAAATCTTCTGCAAAGATTATCGGCCTAGCCTACTTTGTCGCGTAGAAAAGGACAGAAGTTGAGACTGAGAGGGTGAAACTTTGACAAAGTGTCACTGACATCCCCGAATACGGTCGTCGTGATACCGCAGTTCTGTTTAAATTTTCAAGGATCAAAATATTAGGCCTTGGACGGGTAACTCGGGTGCTCGGGTCGGGCAGGTACTGAGTAGGACCCGGGTACCCACAGGACTACCCGGACCCGTGGTTAGTCACGTGATATATTGTTTCATGACAAAAATTCACAATATAACTACATGGTGACACGACAATTGTAAGTCTCTAATGTTCGCATTTCTTCAAGACTATGAAGCGTTCCTTCTGACTTATATATATATATGTTTGAACAAAGCTGAAACGTTCAGTGTATGCATGACCACATCGTTTTATACGTGTATCTAAATACATTCTGCCAGGGCTACTGTCAAACTATTCCCAATCGGACATTTTGTACCTATCTCTTGACAACAACAGTAGGGTCGGGTAATAGGGGTGTGGGTACCCGGGTAGTAAAATTGGACTCGTCCCAGCCCTACAAAATATATAAACTGTTTATCTGTGTGAGGATTCAACATTTGTAACAAGTCAAGTTTACGAAGTGTGACAAGCCGGTGACAGTTCGAGTGGTTTTAACCACAATGTTCGCCAGTTTCAAGATAGATCTACTATGAATAAATACTTATGTGACTTGGGCTATTCTGGCCAATGACCAAATGATGACCAATCAGTCAGAGGAAGTTAACGGCAAACTGTTCAGAGGGTGTGTGTTGCCAGGAGGCAAATTCTGGTGATAACACTGATAACAGAAGGGGATGTCCGTGTTGATGAGATGTCAACTGGCTTCAGGCACCAACAGCTGGCCGCTGACCCCCAATAATTACCTTAGCTAGTTGTCTCTGCTGCTAAGCTCTCCTGGCCTAGTTCACTTCATAGGCCTACCAAATCACTTGATGGTTGAAGCACCATGAGCACAGGACCATGAAACTAATAATAATAACAAACTCGCAGATGAGGCCAAAGGATGTTCAACACAAACTATATGTACCAGTAATAAAGTACTTATGTTGGTATTAATAATTAAAAGGTGTCCAGTGTTTAGCTTGGAGGATGATATTCTGCAGCAAATGTCTGTTAAGATTCCCAAATTTGAATTTCCGTAAACAACGTAATAAGCGCCCAGAGCGCTCTCAAAATTAGAAATAGGGGGCTCTTATTAGAATATTATTTTGGTGGAAAAAAACAGAGTTGAAAGATAAATTTCGTGGTTTATGCTGACAGCCTGAAATGTTATATACGACAGATAGATTTTTCCAGAATTTAATTGCCCATAATTAAGGATGCATATAACACACGAGTACGTATTATACGAGAATAAATAATTCTTGTATACATTGATTAATCGGAAGGGGTGCTAATTAGGGTTGTTCAAGAGCCAGTATATTAGCAATTATCGCCGTGGGCGCTTATTAGAGCGGGGCCCCTACTGAACATTAACAGCATTTTATTGTCATTTCTTACAGATGATATAAAGAAAACATACAAGAAACTAGCCCTGATACATCACCCTGATAAGGTTTGTACTTTTTGATTTGTTTGTGTTTTTTCCATCTTTCAGTTTACAGATATTTTCCCATGACAGCAGGTTGGTGAAGACAACTGAATGAATAACAGCATCCATTAGTTATGGGTATTGGCCTGACTTGCTTACTAAAATCTATTGTAATAATGATGCATGTGTTTTGACTGGTGGCAGCAATAGTATAGAGAGCTCCGCGAATGGGATATCGCTGTGAGGAGCTTGATGTTTATCAATTTTGTGCATACACAGTTATGGCCCTTGATCCATGTTATTTTTATTCATTTGGTGCATAGTGTCTGCAATGGGAAAAGTTTCCCCAGAAACTACTGAAGTAACATGAGTGAAACTTTGCAAGCTTATCTAAATGATACTTATCAAGACTGAATTCAAAAATCAGATTTTCTCAGGACATCAAGCCACCCCAGTGCCTATAAGGATCTATAGGACTCTTTTTGATAGGTAACATTAACTTCAATGTTATTGGCTACTATATGAACAAAGTTCTGTTGTGCCCCATGGTGGGAGATAGTGATAACGACATTTTGGGGTTTTTTTTTTTTTTAATGAAACATCATAGCAATTATGGCAAAATATTACTAATTTGAAAAGGGTTAGTTATTAGCTATTCATTGTAACAAAGCATAATTACATGGAGCTCAGAAATAGTGTGACCCCATGGCAACCCATCTTCCCGAGGCAAGAGAGTAAACTGACTTTAAAAGACCAGTTTCTACCCTTGCCGAACTAGGCTGGTATTATGGAGTTACATTTTGGCTGGACTAACGAGTCTATGCATAGTCCAATCAAAATCGCACACCGAAATCGAAATCCGGTCGTAAAGTGTCGTGCAGATTTCGGTCGACTGCAAGATATGCAAAGCATGTGCACCGCTAACTCGTTGTCAACAGATATTTTCTAAATCTTTTTCATGTTTTTAATCAAGGTGTTCACGTGATTTGATGCACTTCCCGATGTAAGACTCGTTTTATCACAATATAGATCTTGATTATCGATCAGATCGTCTTGACTGGGCGCCACCGTTTTGTTTGAAGCAAATGCAAGTGATACGAAAGGTTGAATCTGATTGGTCAATGGGAGAGGCATAGAAAGGACATAACTCATAATAGCCACTGATGGCGCTACGATCGAGCCCAGGAATTCCAGCCTAGTTCGGCAAGGGTGGAAACTGGACTTTTAAAGTCAGTTAACTCTCTTGCCTCGGGAAGATGATGGCAACCTGGTGTAGAATAGATTCACAGCAATGCATCAGAATGGACAATGTTCATAATATCAACCATTGTTAGAAATGGTGTTCCCCATGGCAACCTGGTGTAGAATAGATTCACAGCAATGCGTCAGAATGGCGATGCTCATAATATCAACCATTGTTAGAAATGGTGTTCCCCATGGCAACCTGGTGTAGAATAGATTCACAGCAATGCGTCAGAATGGCGATACTCATAATATCAACCATTGTTAGAAATGGTGTTCCCAATGGCAACCTGGTTTAGAATAGATTCACAGCAATGCGTCAGAATGGCGATACTCATAATATCAACCATTGTTAGAAATGGTGATCCCCATGGCAACCTGGTGTAGAATAGATTCACAGCAATGCGTCAGAATGGCGATGCTCATAATATCAATCATTGTTAGAAATGGTGATCCCCATGGCAACCTGGTTTAGAATAGATTCACAGCAATGCGTCAGAATGGCGATGCTCATAACCAACCACTGATTTGTCTGTTGCAGAGTCATTCATTTTAAAAGGCCTCCGTGGTATAGATGGCATATTTATTACTGAAACTGGCACAAAATAACAATAGGTCTTGAACATCCAATGATCAGATAATTAAGATAATTTAGAATGGTGAAAGGGTGAAATTGCCCACCCTTGCATGTCAGTATGTTTAATGTTATTTTCATAATAGAACCACCCAAAAGCATGCACTGGATATATGAGGTATTTATGAATTTAATTTGCCACTTTCATTTTCTTTTGATCAGTCAGTTTTGGTTTCAGTGTCAGAATGATCCAGAAGCTACTAAAAGATTTCAAGAACTGAGTGCTGCATACTATGGCCTACAGCGACTTAAAGGTGAGAGTACTAAGTGCTGCATACTATGGCCTACAGAGACTTAACTCTTTCAACACCACAATGTCCGAAATACGTATTCCATTTCAATTTATCATTTTTTATCGATAAATAAAAAAAATTATTCACTATTTCCAGCGATGTTATTGAAAATAAAATTCTCGGACACACATTTCGACAACGGGTCCACATCGAACATGTCAAAAGGCAAAATAAAGACGTTTTAAACAAAACTTTAAATATATTATACAAAGTAATAAATGAAATCAACAAAAATATATCTAAAAGTAATCAAACTTACATCTAAGTTATTATTTCCATCTTTTCGTGCGATCGCGTGTAATGTAAGTCAAATGACATCTCGGCTTTCGTCGCCTCGAATTCTTGGCTCGGACACGATGTTTAATGCAAAAATATATGCATGAAAAATCTTTGTCACAGCTCGTAACCTAGCACGATACATTCACAAAGTTCCATATTTTTAATATATATCGTGATTTCCTGCCTAAAACGTTCAGAATAACACGATTTAACAAAAATCTTTCGCCAACTTGTGAAATTTATCAATCACGAGCTTGGTATCACAACTGTAATTTGATTGGCTGCCTTAGGTCAAAATAGACCAATCACGAAACTTGTTGCAGATTTCAGCAAGAAAGCGTCATTAGAAACCAATTTTAATCCAATGAAATCGCTTGTTATAACTACGGAAAAAAAACCAGGCGATGTTACGTGCATGTAGATGAAGGAATAAGCTTTCCAGCGATGTGTCATATGCCATTCTTCGACAAAACGTGCTTTTCATACGAAGCCTCAAAAACGGGGGTAATTCTTCATGTTACTGAGCGGACAGCCGCTGTTATCGAGAAATGTGTGATGATATAGATACTGTTTATAATTCTTTTTAAAATGATTTTCAATCACGTAAACAATGAAAATAAAACAGAAATAGGTAAGTGGATTTTATGAAGTCTTATATTTGCCGAAAATAGTCAAGTTTTCGCTTCCTTGGTTCCTAATCTGGACGTTAACAACGTGTTAGCTTACATTTTTTATTTACAACAAACTTAAATAAGTTGTAAATACATTATTTTAAATAATGTGAAAAACCCAACTTTCATATTTATAAACCATAGGATCAGACCTTTCAAATGGTGTATAACATGTAGTAGCAAATATCTTTTACAAGCAGATATTTTCTTTGATAAATGTTGACTTCATCTATCACACAAGAGTCTCTGGGAACTCGGTGTCCCAGCAGTAAAAACTTCTGGTTGACTGGTGTTGAAAGAGTTAAAGGTGAGGGTACTAAGTGCTGCATACTATGGTCTACAGAGACTTAAAGGTGAGAGTACTAAGTGCTGCATACTATGGTCTACAGCGACTTAAAGGTAAGGGTACTAAGTGCTGCATACTATGGTCTACAGCGACTTAAAGGTGAGAGTACTAAGTGCTGCATACTATGGCCTACAGAGACTTAAAGGTGAGAGTACTAAGTGCTGCATACTATGGTCTACAGAGACTTAAAGGTAAGGGTACTAAGTGCTGCATACTATGGTCTACAGCGACTTAAAGGTAAGGGTACTAAGTGCTGCATACTATGGCCTACAGAGACTTAAAGGTAAGAGTACTAAGTGCTGCATACTATGGCCTACAGCGACTTAAAGGTGAGAGTACTAAGTGCTGCATACTATGGTCTACAGAGACTTAAAGGTAAGGGTACTAAGTGCTGCATACTATGGTCTACAGCGACTTAAAGGTGAGAGTACTAAGTGCTGCATACTATGGTCTACAGCGACTTAAAGGTGATAGTACTAAGTGCTGCATACTATGGTCTACAGAGACTTAAAGGTGAGAGTACTAAGTGCTGCATACTATGGCCTACAGAGACTTAAAGGTAAGGGTACTAAGTGCTGCATACTATGGCCTACAGAGACTTAAAGGTAAGAGTACTAAGTGCTGCATACTATGGCCTACAGAGACTTAAAGGTGAGAGTACTAAGTGCTGCATACTATGGTCTACAGAGACTTAAAGGTGAGAGTACTAAGTGCTGCATACTATGGCCTACTGAGACTTAAAGGTAAGGGTACTAAGTGCTGCATACTATGGCCTACAGAGACTTAAAGGTGAGAGTACTAAGTGCTGCATACTATGGCCTACAGAGACTTAAAGGTGAGAGTACTAAGTGCTGCATACTATGGTCTACAGCGACTTAAAGGTAAGGGTACTAAGTGCTGCATACTACCGGGGGGATTCCGGGTTATGTTGGTTGCACAAGGCAACTAAATGGATCAGATGGGTGTCAGACTTTGTGGTTTGGTTGATTTTACCCAAAAAGCATGGATCATTGCTTGCGCTATCAATCACTGGATTGTCTGATCCAGACTTGATTATTTACAGACAGCTGTCATATAGCTGGAATATTACCGAGTGCGGCATTAAATAACAAACAAACTTGCATTATCAATCACTGAATCGTCTGGTACAGATTCGATTATTTTCAGGCCGCCTTCATGTAGCTGGAATATTGCAGAGTTTAGTGTACATGTATCTATTCTGTATTGCTAAGCTAAGCCTATTGTTTCAGAGAGGGAGAGACGAGCCGCCTCCTGCAACTGTGGCCATGCCCACTACGACTGTGGGTATGACTTGGACTTGGACTACAGTGACTACTACGACTCTGATGATGAATATTCCCAGTTCTATTCACAAGATGATGAGGATGAGCTGGTAAGATATTGTATATCAAATCCTGTGGTAATCATAGAACATAGAAAGAAGATGTTACCTCTTTGGTGATGTTTCATTGGTCCGTGCACATCTGTAGAGTTCAGTGTTGGAGTGCTGCATTGATAATGCAGTGATTAAAACTAATGAAATATGAACACTTTCATGATTTCATCACCTTTTGGTAAGACTCACTTCTATATCATTGCCTACTTTGAAAAATATCTTAAGGAAATTTTGGATGACAATCATCATGATCATTTAATGTCCTGGAGATTGAACTGATCCAGCGTATGAAATTAAAACTTTTTCTCCATTAGTCTTGGTGATGATGATTTATAGCAAAACCCATAAAAAGGGCTGGGGCCTGGGGGACCCAGTCACGACCTGCAGTCCTCTGACCTGGGGGACCCAGACACACCCTGCAGGCCTCTGACCTGGGGGACCCAGTCACAACCTGCAGTCCTCTGACCTGGGGGACCCAGACACACCCTGCAGGCCTCTGACCTGGGGGACCCAGACACCCCCTGCAGGTCTCTGACCTGGGGGACCCAGTCACACCCTGCAGGCCTCTGACCTGGGGGACCCAGTCACACCCTGCAGGCCTCTGACCTGGGGGACCCAGTCACACCCTGCAGGCCTCTGACCTGGGGGACCCAGTCACACCCTGCAGGCCTCTGACCTGGGGGACCCTGTCACACCCTGCAGGCCTCTGACCTGGGGGACCCAGACACACCCTGCAGGCCTCTGACCTGGGGGACCCAGTCACACCCTGCAGGCCTCTGACCTGGGGGACCCAGTCACACCCTGCAGGCCTCTGACCTGGGGGACCCAGACACACCCTGCAGGCCTCTGACCTGGGGGACCCAGTCACACCCTGCAGGCCTCTGACCTGGGGGACCCAGACACACCCTGCAGGCCTCTGACCTTGGGGACCCAGTCACACCCTGCAGGCCTCTGACCTGGGGGACCCTGTCACACCCTGCAGGCCTCTGACCTGGGGGACCCAGACACACCCTGCAGGCCTCTGACCTGGGGGACCCAGTCACACCCTGCAGGCCTCTGACCTGGGGGACCCAGACACACCCTGCAGGCCTCTGACCTTGGGGACCCAGTCACACCCTGCAGGCCTCTGACCTGGGGGACCCAGTCACACCCTGCAGGCCTCTGACCTGGGGGACCCAGTCACACCCTGCAGGCCTCTGACCTGGGGGACCCAGACACACCCTGCAGGCCTCTGACCTGGGGGACCCAGACACACCCTGCAGGCCTCTGCCTGACTGTTGATTTTCCTTGATGCTGAGAAAGTGTATTCATTATGTCAGTGTGCTGTGTCTATATTTCAGCTGGATTTCTTCAGGAAGATTTTCATGGATGTTTTCTCTGAGTTTGTCTTCAAGAAAAGTGAGTATTCCTCATGTCATGTTTTTTGTTGGCCATGTCCTAGCTGTGTAAATGAGAATAGTTTTCACTGTCAACATGCCAGATGGGCTGGTGACTCACAAATGTAACTAGCCCATCTGGAAAGTTGCAGGTCTGTTTTTGTGAATACATGCTAGAGTAGGTTACAAATGTTCATTTTTCTCAGATTATGGTGCCTAATTCTCTGACTTTTTAACTTTACACCTGTGATGAGGGATTAAAAAGTTGGAGTCATGGTCATAACAAGGCCCACAAATAGGGAAGTACATGCTGAGGGTCCACCTTGAGTGAAACATGATCTCTCGTCGATGTTTGTCGTAATCATGATTTTGCTCTTCCTCTCTCTAAGCTCTTTTACTGAGACGAGACCGCCTCTGTGGTCTAATGGTCTAACCGCGTCATACCAAAAGACGTTAAAAGACGGTACTTGTTGTTACCCTGTCTGGCGCTCGGCATTAAGGGGCTAAAACAAGGACTGGTTGGCTCAGTTAGTATACTGTGTCTGAGTGGGGTATTCATGTTAAACTGCGGCATGGTATCTCAGTGAGCTAGCACTATAAATCGGCATCAGTCCAGACTAGTACAAGCAGCCACACATACACGTGCATGAACGTCGCTATATAAGTGCTATAATCTTGGACGCGACGGTTAACCCCATTTCACCTCACCTTTTATTGAGACATCATAGATTGTAGTATGATATGAAATATAGCCATTTAGCTAGGGGAATTCATCCATTGTAACCACTACTACGATTCGTCTGCTTCATGAGATCCATGCTTTAGAAATTCAGTCCCGATCTGCAGTAATGCATAAAACAATTGAAATACAGTATTAAATAGTCATTGCAAAAACAATCAACAGTGACTGTCAAAGTAAATAAAATAAGAAGTCATGAAATTTTCAACTAGACAGTTGGGCAGGTAGGAATAAATACATTTTTACTGCCCCGACAGATATGTTACCAGCCACGGAATAGCATGCAATCAGTGATTTGTCTAGGTTTCCAAACTAAGTGCCCTTCCTTGCCAAATTGGGGAAATCATTATTTTGTTTGAAAGTGTTTTATTTTTAAACTTATCCTATCTCTCACTATGCTTTTCTTCCTTCCTTCAATCCTATGTGGAAACATGCTTGAAGAAATTTTCAAGCTTCTAAAAACAACTCATCCGAACTCATTTCCCAGCATCACTATGGTTACCAAGCAAACAATTGGTCACGCACTATATTCCCGCGCATAACGACCTACATGATACGATCATGTGATTGCCTCTGCCACATCATTGTCTTTCTCATCACCACATAGTGGAGACGTGCACTGAGATTTGAGAGAATCTAGTTTGTCTGTTTGTTTTTTTGTGGGATTCCCTTCAACATCATCTAGATTACGTACATGATCTGAGGGATAATGGACAGCCTGTCGGAAATGTTGCGTAATAATACACTTGTGACCCTCACAAACTTGGCTGTGATTGCCGTGGCCATTTTAGTTTGGACAAACTCTGCTCAGAATGTGAACACTTCACATTAGAGTCCTTTTTAAAGTCTTATCTACACAAGTGTTACACGAGGGAGATTGTCCGGCGCTCTAAGTCATGAGACATGCCTTGCCCGCGCCCTCGGGAGCTGATGACAGGGTATCAGATAGCTTTCTGAATGACAACGTCCCTATTGTCACGGATCAAGAACAGTCCGTCCCTGTAGTGTCCGGGTCCACGACTACATCAGAACTGCCTGCTGACTTGGATGCTTTCCACAGTTGCTTCAGCTGGACCTCCCTGGACTTAGATGTTGATCGACCTTGAGCACTCCTAGACCATCCGCCACTTGTCGACTCTCGTCTTCTGCTCTGTTCAAGTTGATGTCAACTAAAGCTACTACCACTTCGGAATCAGTTGTGACGACTAAGCCTTCCACAAGGAGAACACTTTCACCCTCCACTGAAGATGTGGCAGAGGCAATCGTGTGATTGTATCATGTAGGTCGCTATACCTGGGATTATAGTGTGTGACCATGGTGATGCTGGGATGTGTTTGGGTGAATTGTTTTTAAGAAGCTGGAAACTTTGTTCAAGCATGTTTCCACATAGGTCCAAAAGAAGAGGGAATAAATGCATAGTGTGAGATAGGATCGGTATCATAAATATACAATTTAGTATAAAAAATTCAGTTTACTTAAATTCAGAAGTATCTTAACATTGCTTTTTTTGTTTTGTTTGTTGTTTAACGCCGCACTCAGAAATATTCCAGCAAGATGGCGGAGGTCTGGAAATAATCTGAAAAAAGTCTGGACCAGACAATCCACTGATTGATAAGATGAGCATCGATTCACACAATTGGTATATGATGGCATGCATCAAGCAAGTCAGCAATCCTGACCACCTGATCCTGTTAGTCGCCTCTTACGACAAGCATAGTCGCCTCTTACGACAAGCATAGTTGCCTTTTGCGGCAAGCATGTGTTTCTGAAGACCTATTCTCCACCCGGACCTTTATTACATTGCATTCAATTCAATAATGGTAAAGTAGCATTATAACCTCTTCCTCTCTATTGGTCATTGAAATGCAAGTACAGTCATGCCCCGCTTATACGAACTTCAGATATCCGGAAACCTCAGTTCCCGGACGATTTTCATTCAAAACGTATATACGGAAATTCAGTTTCCAGAACCGGATGGTCATTTTCATACACAAAACACTGAAATGCACACAAAATTGTCTCACTTATCCGGACAATACACTTCCGCTGGTGGTAATCCTTCCGCTGGTGGTAATCCTTTGATTCGTGAGTTACGTTTGAGACGAGCTTGTTTATTGTACATGTAATCCCATTCGATAAATATGGCGTCTGTGGAGATCAGAGGTCAAAGTTGTGACTTCAAACTGTGAGTATGGCCTGTCAACCAGCGAAACGTAAGCGACACGCAGTTACAGCACGCGAAAAAAGGGAAATTTGTCTGTTTAAGGAAAAACACCCGTCAGCAAGTTTGGAAACCATCAGTAAGCATTATGGCACTGAATTTGGACATACCATAGGAAAATCGACAATTGGTGACATTTTAAAAGACAAACAGAAGTGGCTAAATCTCCCGGAAAATTCCAATGACTTATGACGATCCCGTGTAGCAAAACACCAGAAGCTGGAAGATGCATTATATCATGGTTGTGTGACATGACAAGTCGTAATGTGCCCGTTAAAGATGAAATGCTGATAGTGAAAGCTCGTGATTTTGGTGGCAAAATGGACATTTCAGACTTTGCATATTCTCGTGGGTGGCTCACTCGATTCAAATCCAGACATAGTGTATCATGTAGGAAATTTCAAGTGGAGGCTGCTAGTGCGGACAAGGACGCTGTTGTGAGAGGAAGGGAAGATCTTCGAAAAGTACTGCAAGAATACGAGGAGCAAGACATTTTTAAAATTGATGAAACTGGGTTGTTTTTTAAGTTGGGACCAAATCAGACACTTGCGTCCAAGCCTGTTAGTGGTACGAAACGATCCAAGGAGCGTGTTAGTGTGGCTCTGTGTGCGAATGCAGACGGTTCTGTGAAAGTTAAGCCATTTGTGATAGGAAAAGCTCGACGACCTCGATGTTTCAGTGGTGGTTTCAATCCTGAACTTTATGTTAGGTACCGCAACAATACAAAAGCGTGGATGACATCAGAACTCTTTTCTGATTGGTTGCAGTTCTTTGACAGGCAGATGCGTTTGCGAGGTAGGCATGTTATTCTTTTGATGGACAATGCCGCTAGCCACGCCCTCAAAGTAAAATTGACACGTGAGAATTTACCACCTGCCTCCAAACACCACTGCACACATTCAGCCGATGGATGCGGGCATAATTCGTGCCTTCAAGGCCCACTACAGGAAACTGGTTGTTAGACATTTTCTTGCCTGTGCCGATAATGGAGAAACAGCAAACATCAACCTGAGATCGTCAATTAGAATGATCAAGTGTGCATGGGATGCCGTGACAGAAAGTACAATCGCGAATTGTTTTGGCCATGTGAACATTATGGGTTCAAAGACTGATAGTGACGACCCAGAGGAGGATATGGCATTGTCGGAGCTTCGGGATGTGCTAAAATCCTATGCTGGCTCTGTGCCTTCAGCTGAGCCGATCTCAGCTGAGGAATATGTGAACTGTGATGAGGAAGAGGTGACTTGCGAGTCCCTCAGGGATATTGACATTTTGCAAGCTGTAACACAGCCGGAGTAAGATTCAGACGATGACCAAGACGAGCAGCCCCTCCAACCCACTACAGTCACTCACAAGGAAGCTCGTGCTTGTATAGAGACCTTGATTACATATTACGAGAACACAGGCGATCTGGACAATTTGGAATTATTGTTTAAAATTCAAACCTCAAAATGTGGTAAAGTTCAAACTTCCATGACAGATTTTTTGAAACGTGTATGTCTTGAATAAAGATTGAGTGGATGTATCTGTTTGCTCTGTCATCTGTCATGAGTTGCATAATTGAAGGGAAGTAACTCTTCCAGTAAGAAGCTGGTTTCTGTTATACGGAAATTCGTTTATACGGACGAATTGTGAAATGACGCAAGTGTCCGTATAAACGAGGCAAGACTGTACCCTCAACAAAGCCATAATATTAGTTATCTTAATAACAGCATGGCTTGGGAAAAATTCCAGTTTGAGCCTTTTCACTGACATTTGCTGCCAACTGCTGGATCGAATATTGGCCTCTAAGCTAGTCTAGATAAATCCCACTGCATCAGTTCATGACAACATGGTGTTGCCAGATGCTGCCGTTATATATGTCTTCTGTGTGTTTGTCAGTCATTCTTATTTCAATTACGCTGCTAACATCATGTCAGGTTATTTGTATTGGGACGATTCCGATGTTGATTTATCAGAAATGTTGGGTGTTGGACGGAGTATGAATTAGATTTCAGCTATGATTCATGGTCTGAGGAGGAAAGTAACTCTTCTAAATGTTCGAAGACAGAGACGGACACCC